AAAAAAAAGAGGAATGTTCAACAAAAAAGACGAGCAAGATAATATTGTAATGAGCGAAAATTACCGCTGGACAAGTCGAGGTCATTTGGCGTTTTCTACTATGTTAGAAAACGTCTGAATTGCACAACTTTTGAGTAATAACACATAAACATTAGACGAGAGAAAGAGAGAGAGAGAGAGAGAAACTTTTACGCATTAGATATAGATACACATCAGGATATATTACATTATCGAGTTTAACTTTTTCGAGATATTTTGTAATATTAATTGAGGATAGTCGAAACATGTTTATAAAAAAAACATTATTAATTTTTAGATATTATCGAATATTGCCTGTATTTTACATTATTGTTATTAATTTTAATTGTATCTACTTGCTGATTTAAAATGATTATATAATCAAAGTATATGTTTTTATAAAATTATAAAAATACCTAAAAATTTCACGTAATAATATTGTATAATAATTGATGCATTCTTTAAAACGCATTGTAATTATAAATTTATATTTATTCTTCAGAAAACAAAATCATTTGGATCAAATAATCGGGCATCAGATTTTTGAAGTCTATGAAGTTAATCAAAACGGACATACAATATAATATAGCCCATTACACGGTTATAGTTGCAATATTGTAATCAATAACTTATCTTTCTTCTTTGTGAAAGAGAGTCTTATTACGCAAGCGAAAGGTTTGCTCTGGGAATTAATCATGTCAGTTACGGCGTTTAGTGGGAACAAAAAAAACTTTGACATCAGTTTCCAATGCATCTGGTAGCTTGTCGTAAAGATCTTACAATTCCAAATGATTTATGACGAGACACGAAACATGTTCATCAATTAACTTAATAAGTTCACAGCTGAGATTTTATGAATATATAGAAATTATCGATCTATTCAATGTTAAATATTAAATTATGGTATGGTATAAATAAAAACGCATTGTCGTCTCAGTCACTATTTTATAACTGAATAAAAAATGGTTCAACATCAATTCTATTCGCAACATTTTTAAATTTAGTATAAAAATTTAAATTTTTAATATTAGATTTTAATTTCTGGTAAAATAATTAAAAATATTTTGTTACCTGTTTATATTTTTAAAAATTAATGATAACTTGTCAACTTTATAATTTTTAATTGTGTATAAGATTAATGATTTATTATGTAATTTAAATATGCATTTTACGTATTTTTAATATAATCAGCTTCGAAAATAAGTTGAATTAAAAGAGTAAGAATACAGTTTGTAACATCATACGAGTATGCACAAGATACATATCAAAATAGCAAAATCTTCATGAGTATTACAGTGAAAGTGGAAGAGAGTGTTCAAATTTCACGACATGTACATCAATCAATTTACATATAATTCAGTTTATGTATCAGAGACCTTGTTCGTAAAGGTGTGTTATGAAGTCGTTATCTTCCTGATGGCGTGTCAACTGTCCAGTTGAAAAATTGGAACGTGTGAAATCTGCATAATAATCTGCGCCGCACATTTTGTGAACGACGCTTCCTCCATAATCAAGTAAAGGGGTACAGAAATGTCGAACAACACGATCGTATAGCATGTTGCAATATTTAAGATGAAATTCATGTAATGCAATTACAGAATCAATGATGAACGATGATAAGAAATAATGTTGCATAGAAAAAAAAAAGATATTTTCGATATAATGTTATTTTATAGGTAAACCAGTTTTCTTCTTATAACAGATTACTTCTTCGAAGAGAATTTATTTTTGTTTGATAAGAACTTTAATAATTTCCTTTTCTCAAAAAAAAATTATATAATAGCACATTAGAAAATAATTGATTATTAGGAATCTGTTAAAATTAAAATTAAATAAATTTAAAAATTAAATAAATTAAAATTAAATAAATTAATTAAATAAATTTATGAAAAATATTAACAGTAAAGCATATATAATATGATGATAAAGTTTCAAATTATAAATAAAAAATAAATAAATTAATTTCTTAATAAAAAGTAATCCAAATTAAATTAATCATTATTTTCTCAGTTTTCACAAATCAGTATATTTTGTTTCTGTTTATTATCATATTTTTATCTTTATGTATTATTTGGACAAGTTTAATCGATCAATTCAATGCCGCGAAGAGGAACTCGTTTACGCACGCGTGTCTTCCTCATCTTGTTTCTTCCTAGCTTTCTGTTCATCATCGTGGACCCTCTTCGTCTACCATCATGTGCCCTCTCTACATTCCGCGCGAGCCGTTCCCACTTTTACTCTCGTCAATGATTGAAATCTCATGCTTTAGAATGATATAACGATCGTCTTATCTCCGGAATTCTTGAAGTCAGTGAAATCGTTCTCTCAAAGCGAAGAAAAACATCAGACAAACAGCAGAACGATATGTCGTCATCTCTTCTTTCTCCAATACTGTATTTATTTTAAAGCTGACAATGTAAATGTTAAGCCTTTAAATTATCCAATCATTACATTGAGATAAGATCAGAAACTTAATAGTGCTTATCGAGATCTTAAATGTTTTGAAATTGCAAGTGCCTAAAATCAAAAGTGTTCTTTTGACATGATAGATATTTAGACAGATCTATTAAAATCGAAACGTATAATATATGTATATTGTAAAATATGTATTGCAGACGGAAGAAAAATCGAGGACTGTAGAGGCATGCTGCGAAGGATACAAAATGATTCCCGACGATGCGGAAGTGGATGCCAGGTGTTTGCCGCTTTGCGAAAAATGTGTGGCAGGTGTGTGCGTCGCACCGAACGAATGCCAATGCGATCCTGGATATCAAGGAGATGATTGCGCCAATGGTGAGTTAAGAATAAAATTAGCAATCATTAAGTAATGTTTGTTTCGCTTCGCCTCTAAGATTTATTAATATATTTCTATCTTACTTATAGATTCTCATTAGTCATGTAAACTCGTAAATTTCACGACTTATAATTATAAAATATACCTAAAACGTTTTATGTCTTTCGTGAATTTGATGTATGTTACTGATTTTTTTAGTTTTTAAGTAAGATATTTTAGAAAAATTACATTTTAACGAAGAAATTACAATATTTTTTTATTATATTTTATTATATTTTTTTATTATATTTTTATTATATTTGTAAATATTTTGATATTTTTATTTAATATAATATGATTTAAAGATTATTTTTTATTTTAATTTTTTATTTTAATTTTATTTTTTATTTCAAGCTTTAAATTAACATAATCGATCGATAATCTAGCGAGTATGTAAATTCTAATTACAATTATTTAAGGCAATATCAATTTTGTCTGTAATATCACTGTCAACACAAATATCAGATCGACTTCTAGAGATGTTAATTTAAAAAAAAAAAAAAAACAACAAAAGAAGCTTTTAGAAGATCATTGAAACGAATTCCTTGGCTAGGAATTCTCAGCTTGCAACATCTTCTGTTTAGCGAATCGAACAAAATGTTTGCAGTATTAATTAGGCTGATAAATCGCTATGACATTTAGAAAAGTATATTTAAACTGAGGCAATAAATAGCACTGAATATACATGCGAAATCGATTGAATTAAACATCGGAAAGCTTCGAAGGTCTGTATAATTAATAGATCTGTATAATTCTCGTGCTAATTTCGCAATGACCGCCGCTCGAAAGTAGGATTTGGGATTAAGAAAATAAGCGATGCGTCGCCAGACGATTGTGAAATGAGATTGAGAACGAATAAATCCGAAACGGGTAGCAGCAAAACGCAACGAGAAATTTCACGCTCCACGAAACGGACCGACCTTCTACGACCACGAGAACGTGCGTGTGAAATGACTGTTTTCCAGCAGATAGTACTTCCACGCGAATCATAATAATGAGTGAGATTTCTCATGTTCGTACAACACATCTCGTTGAAATCAATGTTAGCCCACACGTGCCGCTACGAAGTGTCATAATCATAGTTGCTGCAAAACAACAACAATCTAAAAGCTGTAAAAAAAAATTCGAATTGCTAATTTAATGCTAATTATTTGTCGGGTCTTTGACCACCGAGCAAGAGAGAAGCTTAAAATATATTTGCATTTTTATTATTTTTACATCATAATTCTTTTCTCATAATTTAATATTTAGACTTATTATTAATGCCTATTAATTCAGCTGAGATTCTTTGCGGCATCCAAATCAAGATCTTCGAATTTTCTTGTATTTTTTGGCGATCCCGCGTTATAGTATTCTCGTGATAAAATTGGTGATAAATTGCAAATTCTAGATTCTCGACTTCTCGTTGTCAAATGAGCAAAAATCGTGGATTGCACGCAACTGTTGCGTCAATACGATCGGGGAACGCTTCGAAAGTTGCGGAAGCCCGGAAGTTACGAAGCCGCTACTTTCCCGCGAGCGTTCGAGAAGGTCGTGGGCGGTGTACAGTCGATCAGATACACGCGTCCGACGTTCGCATAATGCAATCGAGATGTCAATGCTTTATAAGAGACATTCGCGATGTATGACAATCGTTTGTCTTAAACATTTCGCAGATATAATCTACATCCAACTCATAAAGACTTATTAATTTCGCTTGCCTGCACTTACGAAACGTTTAATTGTCCGTATTTACATGGAAATTGCATCATTTTTTCATCTTGACTGTCAACTATCCATGAAATAATTCATATTATAATTTGAAGCACAAACTTCTTTTAGGAGATTGCATAATGCAGAGTATTAAAGTATTAAATTTCTTCAGTGTACATGGAATGGTTTTGCTAAAGTAACTAAAAATTTGATCAGATATACATAGAAATGAAAATAATTTTGAGTTATCAAAATATGTCGCTTAAACATAATAATAATAATAATACTGCAAAAATTTTTTATATGCTAATAACCGATTTCTTAATTATTTTAACATTTATTTACATTATTTACATTATTTTGGCTCAACAAAGTTATTTTTAGATCTATATCTAGTTAAACTTTTAGATACTTCAGTAAAAATTTTTTGTGTTACATTAAAACGTTTTATTCATGTATTGATCCTATTTTGCAGCGTGTCCATCAGGACTCTGGGGTTCGCAATGTACAAAGACGTGCGATTGCGGTGAAACTAACTTCTGCGATCCTGTAAACGGCACTTGCCAATGTTCTCCAGGGCTGCGAGGATCTCGGTGAGTGTTTAAGGAAAAAATATCGTGCAACTAATATTTATCAAACGATAAATAAACTTGAGGAGGCAAAATATTTGCTTGGCACGTCAAGCCGAGTGATACTGTGAAAATAACGCTCTTCCTTTTGTAGATGCGAGGAGCATTGCGCGATCGGCCAATGGGGCCCGGATTGTGCAAACGAATGCATATGTCAAAACCGGGATAATAGCTGCGATGCCGTAACCGGAAGATGCCGTACCGACGACGACGCCTCTTCGATCGAGCAAACGTCGCCCGCTTATTTGCAGAGCTCTACTACCGACCGTCTACCGCAAATGCCCAGAATTAGTAATACGAAGCGTCCTGAGGTTGTCTCCGTGCCACGTGAGACCATCGAACGTCAAACGGAAGGTGAAACGATACGCTTATCAAAGAAAATGTTTGCTCGGGTCGCGCAACTGTTTGCCGAAAGATGTAGAAATGTATCTTCGCACTTTCGAAAGTTCGTTAGAGACGTCTCGATTGGAAGGACGTCTCGGGAAAAAGTTGTCAATTAGTTAGTTAAGTCCAACGTTAGGGAAAGCTCGCTATACTTTCGCGTTATGAAGAGAGCAAATATAATTTAATATTTATCCGCAGTCACATCGTTAATTAATACGCGACTTTTTTTTATTCTCGCAATAATAGAGTAATAGTGATAGTCATAGATCTGTCTTATTTTATATAACGTAATTAAATAATTAGAAATTAATTAATTACAAAATTAAAAATTGTGTAATGTTTGATTTTAACTGCAGATATTAATGACAATTGGGAAGAACGAAATTACATATCAGAAACGACGAGTCCGGTAACAGCTTCGATCGCGGCTCCTCCTCAGGAGGCAGCGACAAACGAGACACAAATAAAGGATTCTTCCACCACTGCGCGGCCTGTCATCGTCTTGGTATCAGTTCCCGAACGTAGAAAAGATATCGAGAAGGATAAGCAAAAGTTTGCGCCGAAGGATGCTCTTCTCAGACACGTAAAAAGCAATGAAGACGTCGGCATGCCAAATGTTGACTACGTGAAAACCGTTCACAAAGGTACTATCCCGAGATATACTTCGGAAATGCGTAGAAAAGTTTCTTTGTCTTATCTCCATATATCATTTGACTTGACAAGTATTTCTTGTTGACCGCAACAGATGACATTCAGACACCAACGCTGATCCCGTTGGACATCGCTCTGATTGTCGTCGCTGCGATCGTCTCGCTTGGTTTGACCTCGCTCGCAGTGATTATGGTTCTACATATGCGTTCAAAATTATTCGAAACCATTCGCCTCGCCATCTACGACGACGAGAAGACCAAGAGCCAAGAATGCGAGAACGTAAACGGCGGAAGGACGTCCACGGTGGTGAACGCCACTTTGTCCCGTAAGCATCGAGATTTATACGTTCACCTGTCTGACAGCAGTACTCTTTTCTGGATTGTCAGTGAAATCCACGTGTCCTTGACCCCGATGATCCCGATTTAATCAAGTAATCATCTTGACGATAGTCTTGACCGTCATAGCCAACGAGAAAGCTATCTTGTTGATCGTGCGATATCGAGCCCTTTGTACAATCGGTAATCAATCATCGTGATGAAATCATCGCGTTTGTATTATATCCATCGATTTCTTTCTGATTTCAGCATCCCCGATCCGCGCGAATCCGATATTCGCCATTAATACCGAACCGGAAACGATATTCACGGTCGATGGCATTGAGTCGTTGAATACTTATGCTAACGGGGCTGCTACGATCGGTCTGCGAATTTCTGGAAATTTTCGCGGTAAGTTTTGGTTCTTCTAATAAATTTATCGTATCCACGAGACACAACAATAATAAAATTATAATATTGTAATAATTGTACAGAAAAAGTTAATAAAAAAATCTGCCTATAGTAGCTAATGACATATAAAAAAAAGTTTCACTGAAATATCCAAAAATTTTGCTACAGATATATTTTGAAGAAAATAATTTTGTTAGGCCACTGAAGTAATTATATAAAACGATGTTTGAATTAAGCATTGGGATATTAAAAATCTATGTACTGTTGTCATGTTTAAAGTATCCTACATAATTTTTTAATGTCCCAAAAAAATTATTTTCAAATTTATATTTAATCAAATGTTTAAATACTTCAGCAAAATCGTTCCTTCCGTGCAGTAAAAACAATTTGTATAACGGAAATAATTTTATTTCCGTAAAAAATTATTAAATTGCTTTAATAAACTGTATATATATATATATATATATATATATATTATTTTTTATTATATATATTTATTTATTTATTTAATTATTTATTATTTATATTTATTATTTATTTTGTATATATACAAATATATACAATAGATATTAATAGTATTTTTTAAATTGCAGATTTGTTACAAGATAGTCATTATGATCGACCATCACCAACTCTGATACGTCTGCAGACAAATATGGACCATAACACGGAACACTTGTACGACGAAATACCTTTGCAAACCACTCCATTGTCTAATCGCAAGGATCTGTGATCTGTGATCAAGGATCTGAGACTGTTTCCAATATTCCGACCCACTTAGTCCTCTAGTTAATAATACGTCATCATCTAAATAACCTTGACGCGTTTTAGGTGAAACGTGACATGTTGTGGATCGATGATAAGTCGATCGATCGATCGACGAAAAATGCGCAAAAAACTGGTTTTCGACCTTACGCATAGCCATTGAACGTGCAAGGCTGAACGTGACTGTAATAGAGTGGCACAAGCGGAGAAGCAAGTAGTTTTAGCACCGTACTGTCAGTGACCGACGGTAGAATTTAATCAGTGGAGCGTATAACTCCTTCTGAATCAACTATTTCATAGTTTAAACGGGATGACGTCAAATTGAGGGCGACTACACACCCGACTATGATTGCGCGTGAATGCGCAATTAGGTGAAAAGCGCGAAATAATAGTGTTCCGTGTAACGAGCAGGATAAAATACAACGACTGTCATTATCCAAGTGATATTAAACATTTGTATAGCCTGCGGGGGCGGAGCTATCTATTTGCAGATAAATAGATATGAAAATAATAAATTGCCTGGTATAAATCGGGCAGTCTCGTTCAGTATTGATGTAATTTATCGATATCGATATTAACCGTTGCGCAAATAAATCTATCATTTATTTATTTCAATCAACAATACGAACGATTTTTTTCTTTTATTCGTTATCGCGTTACTACGAATTCTTTAATCAGTTTTAATCACATCCTGCAAAATATTTTTTCCTAGGCGTGAAATATCCTGCGATAATACAATGATAAATTTCCGAGTATATCAGTAATGATATATATAAACGATAATGTAATCAATGACACAAATTAGGAAGAGAAAATACACTTATTTAAATACAATTATTTTTCTGTATTGAAAATAAAACCAAAGAATTTAAATGTTATTTAATGTTATTTAATGTAAACATAATATACGTTCTAAGGAAATATAGTGTTAATATTATTTTTTAGATGTGCAACAATTTTTGCAAATAATTATAGTAAAAAATATAAATAATTATCTATAGTAAATTAAAGTTATATTAAGTAAATATTAAGTAAATTAAAGTTATATAAAGTAAATATTAAAATATTATATAATAAATATTAAAATATTAAATTGCGTAAGTTTCTTTTAAATATTATATTAAAATGTAATCTTATGTAGCAATATATTTATAAACTAGGAATTGAGAAAAATAATAAGTTATATTATCATCTTTAGCACTTCTTTCTCTTGTGTTTTCCATGGAAGAGAAGAAAACTTTCCGTTTCTATGTCACGCGATAATTTGATATATCGTTTAAGTCCGACACAGAGTATTTGCACTCGTTTCAAGGAAATGTTATTTGCAGTCAGCATTAGCTTATCATTAGTTAAATAAACAAATATCGTGCACTTATCGTTTATTTAACATATATTCCTGTGTTATTATCATCCCGATTTGCTCATATATATATATACTCCCAAATGATATCAAACAAATTGCGCAAAGATAAATTGTTAAATATGTAAAGCAAAATTTATAAACTACATATACCAAAAAACGTATAAATTTTGCATAAAATTTAATGTAATACCTACATTAAAATAAAAAACAATTCTATCACTTTATTTTAGAAATTTAAAAAACATTTTCTCTTTAATTAAAACAATATATTTATCATAAAACTCATAATAAAATTTTTTTCAGATAACCTCATTCAGATAAAACAAATGAATAAGTATATCTCTTAATTCTTAATATGTATCCTTAATATATATCTAATATATATCCTTTTTTACAGCTAATGTAATATTTTAATATGCATAACTGAAATATAATTTTAAAAATGTTCACTTTTTCATTTTCATTATTCAATTTTTTTTATTAAATTCTAAGAAAATCTTATAAAAGCTTGTAATTTTTATAATCCCCGTTATATGAAGAATATCTTCTTATAATAATGTTAAGCTCAAATGTAATTGTGATACATTATTTTATCCTTTCGCTTTGCGCACACACGATCAATAATGTATTCACCCGGTTAAAGCTATGAGCCTAATGAATCAATTATGGCCCAGTTAATAGCGATGACTTAATCCAGTAATTTAGATAAAAGCGGAGTGTGGAAAGAAATGGATATATGAGCGCTTTGGCCCCATTTGGTCTCTCCGACATATCGATACACATAACCGATAACCGTTTTTGTGAAAGAAAGTGTTGCGTAGTTTAATCGAAAAAATGAAAACCGCTGACCCCTGCGATATCTTTATCGCCATGATGCTTACTCTTTGACCGAAAATAAGTTCAGTAATAAATTCGCGATCGTTCATGCAACATGCCGAGATTGCTGATTTGCCTGATCGTTTTTACATGCCTTGGTGTTGGCACCTGGGCACAGGGTGGGGTGAAAGGTGGGCATCGGCCACGTTACCCTACGAGCGGGAGTCATGGCACCAATTCCTCGCAGGCTGGCCTTTGCTATAAAACGGTGCCGTAAGTAATCAGCTTATCGGAATAAACATTATAACCCTGACAATAATACACTACTTTCTGGTTATAAATTTTGTTACATTCAATCTCTATTGAAAGAGGCGGCATTAAAATTATAATTCACGTACCTTTTAGATACAGCCATATTTCAAACTCCAGCGGATCGCCTTATAATACCATCCCTCAGCCGCCCGGAGGTCACCCCGTAAGTAAAAGTCTTCTGAGAATCAAAGAATCATTTTCACGGAGGAATTAATTTTTGATAAATATAACAGAGATTAGATCACAGGCGATAATATTTCTGAGAGTACATTTTTTTATTTACGTTAATTGACAATTTCTCTGATGTTAAAACAAATTAATTCCGACGTGAATTTTATAAAGCAGATTATTTTTGTCAGCATAACGATGGCTGGATCACCATCCTGGACTGTTGTGACGGCTACGAGCGCAATGTGACTAGCGGCCTGTGCGAGCCGCAATGTGATCGCGGCTGTTTCGGTGGTCGTTGCACGGGTCCGAATATTTGTAGCTGTCCATCAGGATGGCATCCTCAGGATGGTGTCTGCATGCCCGTCTGCTCGTACCCGTGCCAAGAGAACGCCTACTGTTTCACCCCCGAGGTTTGCACGTGCAAACTGGGCTACGACGAGATCAACGGTCAATGCAAGCCAATCTGTCCCAACGGGTGCGGCAGGCACGGCGAATGCGTGGCACCGCGCATCTGCAGTTGCAGACAGGGATACGTCCTGAACGAGCGCAGGGAGTGCGTGGCCGCGTGCGAGGGCGGCTGCGTGCACGGCGTGTGCAGCGGGCCGGGCGTGTGCACCTGTAACGAGGGGTAATTAACGCTTAACGGGGGGCGTAAGGACCCCTTATCCTTCGAGTCCTCTCCGATGTCTCCTCACCGCGCAATGTCTTTCCGCATCTCGGCGATATTTCTCGCGATAATTAAACTCTGCCTGATTTCACTCGTACAGTACGCCTGTAACCACCTGTTCCCGAAGCGAGTTACCCGCGACACGAATAATTGATAAATCAATGTTGAACTCGTCAAAATAAATAAAAATAAAAATAATATTGCACGCTGAAAGCAATTATATGTCGTCCGTGTAACTGCTTTCGTATACGTATACATATAAATCAGCCGTTTTGTAATTCCCTTACGGGGATCTACTAAGTAATGTTATTTACCCTGTCACTTGATGTCACGCGTTTAGCGTTATAAACATAATAAATTTGCAAACATTATATGTTTTGCGGAATGAGTGTCGCATAGATCGTGTATACAGGATGTTTCACAGATGCTGTTTCTCAATTACGAATTTTTTGACGAATACAAAATTTTAACTCAAAATTTTCCTGACTCCTGATAAAATTCTGAAAATCTCCTTTGTTAGTTAATAATAAATAAACATTCAAGTATAAATAATACCATATCGATTATTTTACAGGTACACCAACCCGCCTAACGACCGCGAGTCCTGCGTTCCCCATTGTCCGAGCGGTTGCCTCGGTGGTGAATGTGTCGCACCGAACGTTTGCAGATGCAGGTCCGGCTTTACGCTTAATCAGACCGGCACTTGCATACCGGACTGTCCGGGCGGTTGCGACGGGGGCGAGTGCATCTCACCCGGCGTTTGCAGCTGCAGACCCGGGTACACGAGGGACCGTCACAGTGGCAGATGCGTTCCGAGTACCACAGGTTCGTCGCAGTGCGGATTTGGTTACATCGTCGATCCCGACACCGGCAGATGCATCCCCGCGCCAACGTCACAACCGTCACAACCTGTCGGCAATTGCAGATACGGCTGCGGTCCGCACGGTGTGTGCGTCGGATATAATCGTTGCGCCTGCCAGCCAGGATTCGCCGTCGATCCCGACACTGGCAGATGCATCACCATCGCGACCTCCACAATCAACTCGACCTCCTCCTCGCAATGCAGATACGGCTGCGGACCGAACGGCCGATGCGTTGGCCCGAACGTGTGCGTCTGCGAACCGGGCTTCCGAATCGATCCCGACACCGGAAAGTGCATTCGGCACGACGTCGGTGGCACGGACGAGAATATCTGCCAGCATCCGTGCCTGAACGGCCAATGCACCGGACCAGATCAGTGCACGTGCAACCACGGGTACACGCATGATGTTCGTGACGTTACGCGTTCCAGATGCGTACCGGTGTGCGTAGGTGGATGTCCAAACGGCGTGTGCACCATGCCGAATTACTGTATATGCAATCCCGGATACCGGAAGGAAAGCGGTGTCAAAGGTCGGCAAAGATGTGTCCCGGAATAAATAAGTCAACGACACGCGAAACATATTGTTACAACTATTAATTTGGCAAGATGTATAATTTCAAGCATTACGGTCAACTGAAACTGTATACATAAATTGATAATATAAATT